GGAGGCTGAGGCAGGAGGATCATTGCAAGTTCGAGACCAGCCTGGGCTGCAAAGTGAGCTCAAGGCCAGACTGAATGCTCATGAAAATCTTGGTGCCAGCCAGGCATGGTGGTACACGCTTGTAATCCCAGCACTTTGGGAGGCTGCAGGTGGAAGGTTGAACGTTTCAGACCTGTCCAGGCAATTTAGAGACTTTAGTGAGACCCTGTCTCAAAATAAAAAATAAAAAGGGGGATGGGGATATACAAGGGGCGATCAAAACATATGTCTGAAAGGTTAAATTTTTAAAAATGTGTTACAGTAAAAGACACAATCCCATTCATCTCCCTCAAAATCCTTCTCCTTGTTTCAAACACATCTCACCATTCTTGCCATTTTCTGAAGCAGCTCTGGAAGTCCTCTTTCATGTCCTTACGAGGTATTATTTAAAAATGTGATTAAGTGACATCCAGCCAAAAAGCAGGCTCAATAAAAAACACCCCATGTCGCCCTCATCCACCTTACCCCCTGGATCTGGACTGTGTGACTTCTGGCTCCTCTCCAAAGTGAAAACGACCGAGAAAGGGAAACATTTTGAATCCGTTCAGCACACGGAGACATGTACAGCAGCACAAGTGAAGACCCTCATGAAAGAGCGCTTCCAGAGCTGCTTCAGAAAGTGGCAGGAAGGCGGGGATGGGTGTGTTCAACCTGAGGGGGAATATTCTGAGTGGGATTAATGTGACTGTACCTTTTACTGTGCTCATTTTTTAAAAATTTAAAACATTCATCAAGTCTAGATCTTGATCACACCTCAAGGGCAAAAGCCCTGGGTTCAATCCTCAGTACCGTAAACAAATACGTAAACAAAAACACCACCAACAATGACAAGCCTCGGGGCCGGTAACACCCTCCTCCCCCAGACTTCTTCTTTAACTAACGCAGAGATGTGTCCTTCTCCAGATTCAGGCGATTCCTGTACCCTCTACGAGCCTCTGTAATTCTGTTTTCTTTCAGAACATCCTTAACTACTGTGTGGCTCTCCCAAAAGCTAATTCCACCAGCATCCTACTTTTTCTAACCGCTGTTGTTGCTCTGAGAATCAACAAATGTATCCGAATTTCCTTCAATCATTATCCCATTGAATTTCCCATGGAACTATTTCTGGTAGGTATTTCTGATGCCCTGATTCCATGGCTCAGATTTTGGTTTTTTTTTTTTTAGACAAAGTCTCACTACATAGCTCATACTGGCTTTGAACTAACTACGTAGCCTAGACTGGTCTCAAACTCGTGGCAATGGTTCTGCCTCAGCCTCCCAAGTGCTGGGATCATAGGCATGTGCCATCATGCCCAGTGGCTCAGGTCATTCTATTTTATTTTATTTTATCTTTTTGAGACAGTGTCTCACTGTGCAGTTCAGGCCAGCTGTGAGCTCACTTTATACACCAGGCTGGTCTCAAACTCTCAATGATCCTCCTGCCTCAACCTCCTGAGTGCTGGGATTACAGGTGTGTGCCACCACGCCCAGCTTT